GCACATAATCCAGGCAGGCTGCACCCTGGGCACAAGATTTGGCTCAAAGTGCTTTAGAGCAAATGTCCAAGAGCTGGTTTTAAACTTGAATATATAGCCAGATTGACGGAGGATGATTTGAAAAAAGCAAAAGGGACCGTTAAGAAATTCATTCTGTGTTAGGTTTACTATCTGGATAGTCACTGCAGGAATTTCTGCCGTTTGCTCTTTGAGATTCAAATAAGACTTAACCAGGAAGATACAGAAGTTCAAGCAAACCAACCTCAGGACAAAACACATACAAAGGAATTATTCAGTAGTAAAGTTGTAGAAAAACAAGTCTAACAATAATAGTAAACCATACATTGCAGTGTCGGGGGCACCGGAACAGGGGGGCTATGCCCTCCCACTTTTTACCAGCAGCAAGTGCGAGCAATGAGGGAGGGAGTGGAGAGGAGCGAGCGGGAGGCAGGGTTTTGAGGGAAGAGGCGGCATGGGGGTGGAGACTTGGAGAGAAGGGGCAGAATGAAGGTGGGGCCTCAGGGGGAATGGGTAGTGAAAGGGCAGGGCCTCAGGTGGGGGGGAAGGGCTGTCACAAAGGAGTGGGGCCACAGTTCAGCTGCCCATCTCCCCCACTTTAAGGACCTTCGGTCACCCCTGTGCCGTGTACAGTGAAAGAAGTTACTAAGCCAAAACCGGAAACTTTTTCTCTTTCTTTTTGAGATCGCATTAAGCTGAAAAATTCAGATTCAGATCAGACCCTTCCAGAGCTTTAGAAATATTCATATTCAGAGATCTGATTCAGAGCTGTGAACTTCAGATGTGAACTTCCCCAAAGAACCAGAAATCCAATTGGTCCCCAACATATGGGAGATTTTGACCTGGGTTTCCATACGAGGACCATCCCTTATAGTCGTATCATTTAATTCTTATGCTGGCAAAAATCCCATTGAGTTCAGTGGGAATTTCACCTGAATGAGGACTTCAGCATAGGGCACCATAAGCTTGACTCTTTGCAAATTCCTGAAGCTCAAATTAAAGCAGAATCAATGTTAAAATGTTTGTTGATCTGCTTTGCCTAGTGGTCTTGTAGCTCCATACGTATTTTTCTAGTGCTGGCCAACAAATGGAATTTCCATTCTACAAAAATAATTGAGATTTTGAAATTTGTTTTTATTCCAAACTGGAACATTTTCTCCTCTGCACGGGCAATTGCACGGTAGCTGACGTTGGTGCGAGGGCTATCTGCAGTGGGTAGTTTCCCTCCATCAGGGGAATTTTCTGATGACCAGCTATTGCCAGATTCTGGCCCCCTTGAGATTCCTGAGTGGCACAAAGAGGCTGGAAAAATTTTCTACATTGCCTCTTGGGGTTCTATTGGGATTTTCTAACGTCAGCAGTATCTTTCCATCAGTCTGCTTGTTGAACTTCTGGTGAAGCCAGTAAGAGTTCTGTGTAAAAACTGATGGCAGGATATAGTTTTAAGTGTCTACTGGTACATTGTACCTACAGACATTTTAAGGTTACTTGAAGTTTTGCTAACCTCATGGGTTCATACCTGCCAAGACTTGCTAGATAGCCTTTAAAGTAGTTGGGGGAAGGGGGGGGGAGAGGAGAGAAGAAGGAGAAGAATGAGAACATTTGCATAGTTTATATAATCTGGCACATACTTCCAGTGTACCGGAGAGCACAAAGATAACATTTTACTGTAACAAAAAATTAAGAATGAAAAGAATACCTGTCCCAAAGAGTTTGTATAAAAGTCTAAGGAGAATGGGGAAGGAAGCAAGAACTATTATAACAAACTGGGGAATAACAGGTGAGGCAGTAGTACTGCAGAAAGTATTCCCAGAAGTACTGGGAGTTACAGTGGATCACAAACTGAATATGAGCCAACAATGTGACACAGTTGCAAAAAGGCTAATATTCTGCTGGGATGTATTCACAGGAGCATTGCATGTCTCTACTCAGCACTGGGGAGGCCTCAGCTAGAGTATTAAGTCCAGTTTTGGGTGCTACACTTTAAAAAAAAAATGGGGGAGAGTGGACAACTGGAGAGAGTCCAGAGGAGAACAAGCAAAAGGATAAAATGTTTAGAAAACCTGACCTCTAAGGAAAGGTTGAAAGAAGTGGGCATGTTTTGTCTTGAGAAAAGAAGACTGAGGGGGAACCTGATAAGTCTCCAGGTATGTTATTGGATGTTACAAAGATGACTGTGATTAAATGTTCTCCATGTCCACTGGAGGTGGGACAAGGAAATGTAGGTTAGATATTAGGAAAAACTTTCTAGCTCTAAGGGTAGTTAAGCTCTGGAATAGGCTTCCAAGGGAGATTGTAAATCACCATCACTGGATGTGTTTAAGAACAGATTAGACAAACATCTGTAAGACATGGTTTAGGTTTACTTGTCCTGCCTCAGAGCAGTTGGACCACCTCTTGAGGTCCCTTCCAGCCCTACATTTCTATGATTCTATAAGTGCAACTAAATGAAGAGGGTGATGATCTACTGTGCATGCCTGATACCCGATGTGTTGTTATAAAGAAACAGAGGGGTAGATCCTATAAAGCAATTACCTCAGCCGAGATACCAGTATATTGTTTCTTACACCTATACGTGTTTGCACCTATTTCATTTTTGTTTGTCTATCAGCTTTTTTCCACTTTGAAAATCATAGACTGATAAATTACATTTGATTTCTCTTTCACTTATTTCTTTATCAGCAGCTGGTGTAATTATTTGAGCAACTATCAGGTACATTTGATAACGATTATATTAATTTGTGTAATCTTTACTTGACACCTAGCTCCTACAGTAACTCGATATTCCATTCTGGATTTTTCTTTGTGCATACTTTAGCTTAAAGCAAACATTGTTTGTTGACCATTGTAGCTGAACTCTGTTGCAATAGTCTATTCCTGTTAGTTTCATTTAACTACTAATCTATCAACAAGTAAAAACATTTTTATGATATCCTGTGCTGTGTAAACTTACTAAAAGGTGACAGATATTGACTTTGTGGCCTGTGACACATTCAACAGTAATGTCAACTGATCTAATGTTTTCTCATTGTGTTGTGTTTTGGGTTTTTAGTACAGACCCATGCCTTAATGATTTCTTGATCTTTGTTATCTGGGATTTTTAATGCCCACTGTATGCTTCAGTAATCTGTTGGAAACTCTGATTTGCTTCAATTAATTACAGTAAATCACTGATCTTTTAAATGGGACCTGTTGAAATAAGAACCTGTGATTTTTACCACACAGACTTATTTAGCAAAGTATGAATTTTACACAAGAATGCTCCAGTAGAAGAGTAACACTGCATTTGAACAGAGTTCTCTTGTACGATATAACAGTAATAAGATATTTACTATATGTTACATTTGTAGTCCGTTACTAACCCCAGTCTCTTGAGGCATCTTGCCTCCATACAGAGCTGAGTCAATCACAATTCAAGTTTTTGGATTACATTTAATCTCCCAAACAGGGTAATAATTTAAAAAACGAAACTAGCAGAAATGTTTTAATAAGCAGGATGTAACACTAATGAATCCAGATTAGGCTCTAATCCTGCTATGGCACATGAGCCTAGAAAAATACTGTGACTCAGTCTGAAATGCTAACTATTGTAGAATCAAATACTTTCTATGTCGACCACGTTTCCAGTATCCCTGCATTTTTCAAGCTTTCTACATGGAAGTGGATTAAAGCTTGTTCCTTTGAATCTACAGAGAATACAAGAGAAGATTCACAATAATGTATTGTGCTCAGAGGATGTATCTAGAGCTAAACAATGGGCCAGATCCTTGGGTGTGGCCAAGCTACATGGGGACTCTTTTCTGACTCTGGGGCCACTGTCAGATATAAACTGAAGCAGTTTAATGGAATTAATCCTGGACATCTGCTCAATGTAGTGGTGTACTGGCCATTCCTCTTCACCACATTGCCTGCACTGGCAGCAGGGAGGAGTGGAGCTATAGATGCCTCTATGACAGCTCTGCATCAATAGGTGTAATCCTTCGGAGATGCCACATCTCTGCTGGTGATGTACAGTATTACCAACCTCAAGCATTTGGAAATCATTAGTCACCCCCTCAAAAATCACAAAATGGGTGTAAAAATGACGAGTGGGGTTTTTGGTGGGTTTTTTTGGGGGCGGGGTAGAGTTGGGTTTTTTCGTTTTCAATAAGCTTGGGGTTCTTTTTATTTGCATTTTGGTTTTGGACCCTTTAACATTCACTCAGGTCACATTTTGATGATTTTCTCCACAACCACAAGAGCTAGATTTTTTTTTTTTAATTTATTTTTTTTCACAAAAGCTGAGATTCTCCCATAATCATTTGAATACATGATCTGGGGCTTTAAGAAAAACACTGTATATCACCGAGACTTTCAATAAAACTCATGAGAGTTGGCAACGCTACGATGATGTGGAGCAAAGGGACTGCAGATTTGTCTCAGCATCACAATATTTCTTCTTATTTTATCTCCTGTAGGGTTCACATGATTCGTGGTGGTTTAGTGATTCATTTAAAATAATCTGGATGTTTATCCCAAGCTTCTGAACCTGTATTATCTACAAATTATACAGTTATCTTGTGAGAAAAGACTTTCTTCTGAGATTCCCAGTATTCCTTGATCCAGCTGGGAGCATAATACAATTAGAATAGCACTTTATATTAATCTATACTTCTGCTCTTTAAGTGAATTGCACCCAGGCATTTAGAGAAAAGGGTGGGACAGGGTTTTAAAATTAATATATAAGAATCTGAAAAAGAGGTTTGGATTTGTAGTTGACTAAAATTCAGGTAGGTTGGTATTTCTTTCCCTTTGGTCCAGTGGCAGAGAGGCAGGCAGGCCGGTGTTCTCTCCATTTACATTTTAGGATTTTTAATTTTTTTTAAGAGTATGGGAGTTTTGCCCACCATTTGGCAGTTTATATCAAGGATAAATGGATTGTCATTTTGATTCACACACTGCATGCCACTGACGTAACTCATATTGATGTTTCCTTATTCTAGATCTCCAGACAAGAACATGGCTTCTGATGAAAGGGAGATAGTGGTTTGGGTATGCCAGGAGGAGAAAATTGTGTGCGGACTGACAAAGCGCACAACCTGTTCTGATGTGATCCAAGCTCTACTAGAGGAACATCAAGCTACATTTGGAGAAAAAAGGTTTCTTTTTGGACAACCTAGTGATTATTGTATCATAGAAAAATGGAGAGGCTCTGAGCGGGTCCTTCCCCCGCTGACAAAAATGCTGAGACTTTGGAAGGCCTGGGGAGAGGAGCAGCCCAATTTGCACTTTGTTCTGGTGAAGTCAGATGCTTTCCTTTCATTTCCGTTGTGGAGGACAGCTGAAGCAAAGATAGTACAAAACATAGGAAGACAATGGGAGCTCAGCCCAGCGAATTACATGAAGTTGTTGCCAGTGGATAAGCAAAAGAGGATTGTTGGAAAGACTTTCAGGAAACTGGCCAAACTTAAACAGGACCATACTCTGCAAGAGCGAGACAATATGGAGACATTGATTCATCTGATCATTTCCCAAGATCATACCATTCATCAGCAAGTCAACAGAATGAAGGAATTGGATACGGAAATTGAAAAATGTGAAGCCAAATTCCACCTCGTTCAGGTAGAAAATGATGGAGAAAATTATGTGCAGGATTCTTATTTAATGGCCACTCCAAATGATGCTGAGCAACAAACAAATGTTCCACATGGTCAACATCAGATGCATGAATACTTGAGCAAAAGTGATGGAATTTTACAGATGGAAGAAGGACTGAAACATCACAAACTACTAATTGAAAAGCTCTGTGCTGAAATTGAAAAAGAGGTAAAAGGTGTATGCACTGAAACAAATGGAGATGGTAAATGCATGGCAGAGGCCTTAAATGGCCAACTAGAATCCTCAAATTTAGAAAGTGTCAAACATGAGTTGGAAAAAAGTACGAAAGATGGCTTGAGAATCCACTCTCACTTGAGCTGCATTCAGAAAGAGCTTACCTACAGGGACTTGCTGCTGCAAAAGAAGGAAAAAGAATATGAACTCCTTGCGGAAGAATTTAATTCACTGCATATCAAAGACAAAATTGAATCCAGATGTCCAGCTAATGAAGAGCAGGCAAAAGGCAGCGAGGTTTCCAGCAAGTGTATCGCAGTGCCAGACTTTGTTCGTAAAGTGACTAATGTAGACATAAATGATACGGACTCTGACACTGGAATCAGCTCGACTCATAGTCAGGACTCTGAAACAGCTTTAGGAGACATGATACTGTTGTCAACATAGCTGGAGACCGTTGTGCACATGACAAAGAGTAATATAAAACCAACCATCTTTGGGGGGATATTTATCCTTTTAATAGTCTTGCTATCATAGGGTATGTCTACACTGCAGCTGGAAGTGAGCCTCCCAGCCTGGGTAGACAGACTTGTACTAGCAGGGCTTGAGCTAGCTCGCCAAAAACAGCAGTATGGATGTTGTGGCTAGGGCTGCAGCCTAGGCTCTGAAGCTGGCCCGATCCCATAGGCTTGAGAGCCCGAACTGCAGCCCAAACAACAACATCCACTGTTTTTAGTGGGTTAGCTTGAACTCCACTAGTGCAAATCTGTCTACTCAGGCTGGGAGGATATGGTATAGACATGCCCATATCATCTCGGACCTGAAGGTGTTGACCACTCTGGCCCCAATCCACCAAAGCACTTTAGCATGTGTGTAACTGTGAACATAAGGGACTACACATGTGCTCAAACTGACCCACATACTTTAGCATGTAAGTAATCCCACGTGTTTACAGTTACACACGTGCTAAAGTTCTTTGCTGGATTGGGGCCAGAGTGCTCAGAGTTTTGTAAGACTGAGCTTCATTGAGACAAAAGTATTCTGATGGGAGATGGCCTGAACCAAAATTCCAGATCTGAAACCCCTAATCTTTGGGTCCATCTCTACATCTGACTAATCTTTTAGGAATGTGGACATAAGGGATAGACCAACTTAGACAGACAACTTGATTCTCTGCTCCGTTACACTAGCTTTCTTCCACTGGAGTAACAGGGTGTAGGATAAGGCACACATTTGGTTAAAATGTAGTTTTCATGATACTGTAGAGGTGATAAAAAGCATATACTTTTTTATGTTGTATATTTAAATTTCATTACCACAGATTACAAAGCGTAAAATTTTCAAAAGCACTTAAGTGCCATTTTCATAAGTGACTTAAGCACATAGATTTATGTCTACACTGCAATTAAAACCCAGTGGCTGGCCCATATCAGCTAAGGGGCTGTTCAATTGTAATGTAGACATTCAGGTTTGGGCTCGGGCTGGAGCCCAAACATCTACACCACAATTAAATAGCCCTTTAGCCCAAGCCCTTTGAGCCCAAATCAGCTGGCATGGGCCAGCTGTGGGTGTTTAATTGCAGTGTAGACATACTCTAGCAGTCTCAGTCCCATTGACTTTCAGCAAGATTTAGGGTTGAAAGTTAATCTGGAATAGGGTAAATGAGAATTTAAAGTGAATTGTTCCTGATTTAACACCATGTTTGGAATTTCTTATTCCAGAATGAGAGCTTCCATACATGGAGTTAATCAGGAATAATTAATTAGGAATAGCTGTATTGGAATAACTCCCTGTGGTAGACAAGCCCTTAGGCTCCTAAAGACCAGATCTTCAGAGGTATTTAGGACCTAACTACCATTGAAATTGGTGGGAGTTAGATGCCTAATACTTTTTGAGGATCTGGACCCTAAGTCACTTAAGAATGTTTGTTTGGAAATTTACCCTGAAATCTGACTAAATGTATTTAATGGGAACTATGTACTAGCTAAGCAACACAAAGTTCAGTCATATCCTGGACTTAAGTCTTAAACGATGAATGAAAAGATGACATATAGATGGCATAAATCTAAAATAATTTCAACTACATTCTTTTCCTTTCCTATATTTTGGTGTTCATTAGAGTCCTCTCACTACCCTCAAGTGTCTGCCAGTCATCTGGTTTTCAAAATAACCAGAACACTGTGGATTTAAGACTGTAAATATGACTTTGGAGAGCAACATTTCCTGAACACCACAAACTGTTTGTTTTTAAAGACTTGTGAACTCTGGACTTTATGAAGAGCGTTTGTGTTTGCAGGTATCTATCTTGGCTGCCTTAATATATTTTATCACTCAACATTATATAAAATGATTGGGATGCTTCAAGTGTAACACATGGAGCTCAGCTACATGAATTCTTGTATATAGCAAGATCTATAGCAAACAAGACATCTTAACATTGTAATAATTTATTAACACAACTCAGCATCTTTTGTACTCTGCGTGTCATGTACTGATATTAGGCATTGCATGCACTTCTCAGTTCAGAGCTTTGAATGTTGAGAGCAGGCTAATGTATTTCATGAGTTCTTGTGCAGTTAGAGATTTCGTTTAATGTGTCAGCAGTTTTTATAAATACATTTTCTAGCCTGTCTTTTCCTATTGAAATTCTTTCCTGTGCAAAAGGCCATCACTATGTCTTTGGGCCACTTCATTCCCACATATGCTCTCCATCAAAACAGGGATTTTTGCAGAGCTGGGTGAGTAATTGATTTTTCAGTTAGGTGGCAATTCCAAAAATAATAATACAAAGAATCAGGTTTGGATTGAACCAAATCTGAAAATTTCCAGAATTTTCAGTGAATCAGAAGAGTCCATTTCAGCTCTGCTCCGGAGTGGGGATTCAAAACTGGGTTTCCCACATCCCAGGTGAATGCCCTCCTAGAAAATTAAAATGAAAGAAAGGGACAGCAGCACCTTAACTGCCTTTGCTCCCACCAACACCAGTGCTACTGCTGGTTGCTTTGTTGCTCATACCATACATGTCAAATCTGCAGATTGACCAAAACTGCATTTTCCATTGAACAGACAATTAATCTGAAAACAAGTTTGCCTAGTTCTCTTTATGTGATCCACAGACGTTGTGCTGGCCCTCCACAAAGGGGTGAATTTCACCCACACTGCATGCTTGGTTGTGCACCCATCCCTTGTAATGTGTAGATTTGAAGGATATTGCTTTCTATTGAGAGAGGAAAAAAAGCAAGAAAACCAAGGCAGGATACAATATTTCTTTAAAAAAAAATCCACAATGATTTGAAGCTCAGCCTCACTGTCTGCATCAAACCTGAATTCCTTAGATGGGCTTAAATAAGCAATACAGTACATGCTCAGTGCTGTTTTAGCTCCCTCCTATTGCTAAATCCCTTATTAATTCAAGCTTGGCACACCATCAAGGTATCTTGGGGGAAAAAGCATTTCCCAATATTATCCTTTTGCCTTCTTTTCCTACTGAGTTAACAGAACATAAGAATGGCCATATTGGGTCAGACAAATGGTTCATCTAGTGCAGTATCCTGTCTTCCAACAGTGGCCAATGCCAGATGCTTCAGAGGGAGTCATCAAAACAGGGCAATTATCAAGTGATCCAGCCCCAGTTGTCCAGTCCCAGTTTCTGGCTGCCAGAGACCTAGAGACACTCAGAGCATGGGGTTACATCCATGACCATCTTGACTAAGAGCTATTGATGGACCTATCCTCCATGAACTTATCTAAATCTTTTTTGAATCCAGTTATAGTTTTGGCCTTTACAACATCCCCTGGCCATGAGTTCCACAGGAAATTGTCTTTCTTTCTCCTAGATTAGCTAAGATTTTTGCCTTCCCTTGGGAACTGCAAAATATTAACCCTTTATGTTCATTTCCTGTCTCTCTTAAGTCCTGTTTCTCTGGCACCCTTGAACTCTGATTTTATGACTCATGCAATTCCATTGGGTGAGCAATGCTTACTGATTAAGGGAAGCACAAAGAATTGCTGCATGATGGTGTAACAGCTCAGACTGGGGGGGGGGGGGGGGAGGGAAATCAACTCACCAAAGAATAAAAGGGTATGAATTAGAGTAGAATATAGGGGAAGTCAGGACACTGGATTGAGGTGGAGGAAGGGAGAAGTGTTATTTTGATGGCAAATAGTTATCTGTTGAGGATGAGGAAGAATAGCCAGGTGAGTGGGTCTGCACCACTGCTATTTTGAGTTGGGATAATTTGGATCCAGATATGAATCCAGGACAAGAACCTCAGCTGTTATAAAATGGTGTAGCTGAAGTCAGTGAAGAGGCACTGATTTACACCGGATGAAAATGTGGTCCGTATACTGGCAAGGACTTTACTGAAGAATTCACTCTTGCACATATAAAATAACCAATATAACCGCTGTTGTTTTCCCAATGCATACTGGATATAATTTCATGTTTCTGCATGATTAATGTGTAATTTAACAAATTTGATGGAACCAGATAAGTAAAAATGTAATTTCCTGTTTCAGGCTCTTGACGACTCTTTCATTTAGAAGACAAATAAAAGAACATAATTATCACTTGATTATGTAGATGTGTACAGTATTTGCTATTCATTTAAATGGTCAATAATTACAGTATAATTGCAGAATTATTGCATGCTTGTCTTCTGCAATACCCAAGAAATTTTATCATTTCAAAACTAAGGGCCAAATTTGATCCTCCAATCTTGAGTGCATGAAGTGGACGGATGGGGGAGATATCTTCTGTCTGAAGTATGTGCTTGTATTTATGGGCCCTAATGCAGTGCATTCGAGTCTAGCAAGTTGAAGTTCAGAGTTGAACCTTCATTCTAAGGCTTTAGGCTGACAACACATATAAGCTACCACTTTTCCCAAAGGCATGACTGTTGAATTTTTTTACATTTCCACTCTTGAATGAAGCAGACTACTGGAGCATCCATGGTGGCATTGTTGATGATTGAAATTCAAATAGTATGTTGTATGGCAAAAAGCGTATGTGACGAGTTTGATCACAGAGATCCCCTTGGGACTGTCACCTGATCTGCTGAAATTACCCCTGAACCCGTTTTCCCTGCAACCTTAGGACTTCCAGAACCCTGCCTTGTTGAGCCAGACATACTAGCCTGCTGCAACACAGACCCGGGGTCTGGCCCATGCCCCCAAAGCTGCAAACTTAGGTAACCTGCTGAGCTGTTTTCAGTTATCTCCAGCACCCAGACACCCAGTTCCCAATGGGATCCAAACCCCAAATAAATCTGTTTTACTCTGTATAAATCATACAGGGTAAACTCCTAAATTGTCCTCCCTCTATAACACTGATAGAGAGAGATGCACAGTTGTTTGCTCCCCCAGGTATTAATCACATTCTAGGTTTATTAATAAACAAAAGTGATTTTATTAAGTATAAAAAGTAGGATTTAAGTGGTTTCAAGTAATAACAGACAGAATAAAGTAAGTTACCAGGCAAAATAAAACAAAAACACGCAAGTCTAAGCCTAATACATTAAGAAACTGATTATAGCTTATATCTCACCCTCAAAGATGTTCCAATAAGTTGCTTTCACAGACTAGACTCCTTCCTAGTCTGGGCCCAATCCTTTCCTCTGGTACAGTCCTTGTTAGTTCCAGCAGACATCTCAGGTGGTAAGTAGTGGTTTTCTCATGACTGGCAGCCACTTTTGTCCTGCTCCATCCCCTTTTATAACGTGGGCACAATGCGGGAATCTTTTGTCTATGCTTGTCCCCACCCCCACCTCATCAATGGAAAAGTACAAGGATTAAGATGGATTCCAGTATCATGTGACATGGTCCCATGTCCTGTGAGACCCCAGCCTCCATTCTTCCTGGGCTGGCCTACACATACACAGGAAGATTTGCAAGTAAACAGAGCTATTTACAGTTCATTGATTCTGAATCACCCTTAATGGCTTCCACTTAATATGTTTACATCAGTAATACCAGTTTATATCTTATTCTGCTAACTCCAGACATATAAATAATACATGCAAACAAATAGGATGAACACACTCAGTAGATATTATAAGCATTGTAATGATACCTTAAGAGACCTTTTGCATAAAGCATATTCCTGTTACATCATATTTACATTCATAAGCATATTTTCATAAAGCATATGCAGTGCAATGTCACATCATAGTTAATATTCTTTACTCAGTAATATTTCATTAACTTTACTCAGCATAAACTATCTTATCTCCAATGTATGTCATGTTGTACATATTGGACCATCATCTTAACATAAAAAGTAGACGGCTGGAAAATGGAAATCCCTGACTTCCCTCCCTCTTTCTCCCCCCCCCCTCTGCCCCCACCAAAAAAACCACCAAAAAAACACATTTTGGAAAATAATTTCATCCCAAACCACGACAAAATGTCAAAAGCATGACATATTTTGCAGGAAGGGTCTTCAAGATAAATGTCAGTTGCAGGCAAACCGAAAGAGATTTTTTTGGCTTCCTAGTTGCCTGCAGGGAAGGTCTTGTCAAATTCACAAGTGACATTGACAAGAGCCTGCTGCTCTGACTCCCAGCCTCCCCACCTAAGCTCCAGGGCAAAGAAGCATAGAAAGGCAATTCTGAGACTCTTCGTCTTCTTTCCAACTCTGCCAACTTGCTGCCTCTGCATTTTCACATCTTGTGGGGAGGTCAGGAACAGCCCACTAGGAAAGCTTTCGTCAATTTCATTGGCAGAAAGTAAAATTGACAAGAGCCTTCAAGGCAGGCAGCCAGGGACTTTGCTGGGAAGTGGGGGTGAGGGTGTTTGGTTTGTCAAAACTGAGATCTTCTCACTGAAAATTTCAGTTTTGTGAAAAGGGCATTGTTTGTCAAAAAATTGTTTGAATTAACAAAATGTTGACCAGCTCCAGTCGAGAGGAAGAAATATTGTTCTAACTAATGCCCTGATTTAGCAAGTAGTCCCAACGATGTCAACTTCTGATTTAGGAAGCGTGTCCTATTTTGCTTAGCAGCTGTGTTAAGATGAAGGCATTCTGTGAGTAAATAGATAATTTTGAGGAATGAGAGAACGCCTCTGAATATTAGAACTCTCCTGAAAACAAAGAGCAAGAATTCTCTTTTCTCTTCCCATATCCCCATCCAATATACTTAATAAAAATACACTTATCAAATAAAAGCCTTTTTATTTTTCCATTCATTAAATAAAGCACATGTTTACATATTTTCTTTTTCTAATAAATTAAATGTTTACATGTGAAAAGTATTTCCACTGACGTTGCTTAGAAACTGAACATACTGTTAAGAGCAGAATTCTAATTGGAATCCCAAAGCTTTCCTTTTAAAGTTACATTAGGCCAGCAGTTCTCAAACTATGGGGAGGGCCTCCCAAGGGAGGTATGGGAATGTATCAAGCTGTGTGCCTTTTTTTTTTCTTTTTCCCTAAGAGCTCTGGCTGTCAGCTCGTGGGGCTGGGGCTTGTGCAGAAGGGCTGTGCATACCCGGGAGGTGGGGGGAATGGGATAAAAGGGACAGCCAGAGCCTCACTGCCCCAAGGCTGACAGCTGGAGTCCTGCTGCCCAGGCTCTCCTTCACCTACCCTCAATCTCTCACGGGGAGGTGGCAGCAGGGTTCCAGATGTCAGA